GAAGAGCGGAGAAGGTGTCTGATTTTTTATTCGTTTATTGTTTTTCACATTTATTTGTTTATATAATTTCCGTACAATTTTTGTGGGTCTTTAAGAAACCTACTAAATGGGCCACGGCTCACATCATGGTTTGCTAGAATGGGCTCAAGCTATATGTCTCACTGATTGGGTTACAAAATAAAAAAGTGAACTTTTTTCACGATAATAATTAAATAATTATTTTAAAATACTTAATTAAGTGAAAATAGAACAATTTTTAAAATAAATTTTCACGAGAAAAATTAGTTAATATTCTTTTAGCATGTAAAAAAACTAAGATATCGTTTAAAAAATTACAATCTTTTTCCGAGCACAATATGGTCCAAAAAATCTTTTTTATAAATCATTTTAAAAACTCATTTTCATGGGAATAATACACTCATATTGACAATAATTATCTATTTATTATAATTGTATAGGAGTTCGCTATGATTTTATTTTCTTATTTAAGGCTGTATTTAATTACTTCATTTATAAGACTTAAATTGTTCAAATTTTATCATGTCCTAAAGCAGAGAAGCTAGACACGTTTTATTTGCGAGTCTAAATCTTCAACTATTCTTTTGTCGGATGGATTCAAGGTTAAACACCTTCGGTTATATATATATATATATATATATATATATATATATATATATATATGTCAAAGGAAAAATGGAATAAAATATCTAAACATATATCTAAACTAAAATTTTTATTAAAAAAAACCTTCAACTATGACGTTTTATCTAAAAAAATATATAGTAATTGAAGAATTATTTTTTACAAAAATTATAATTTAGGCATTAATTTGTTAAGTTTGAAAATTTTGCGTTTTTTTATTCTATTATCTATAACGTATCGCAGTTCCATTATGACTTTTATTTTATTTATTTAAGGTTCCATTATGACTTCAACAACAAACACCTACGGTTATACACACACACACACACATACAAGCTTCACAGTATGTGTAGATGAAGAAACAAAGACTGAAGCAAAACAAAGGCAAGAGAAAAGCTCAAAAAAACAAGCGAAGGAATATGGAGAAGAAAACCGCAGCATTGGCAATTTTAGGGTTTGTTTTGATGGGTGTTTTGATACAAGAAACTGCGGCAGATTTCAGCCAATGCTACCACGAGTGTTATCCCAAATGCAGACTCCGTGAACAAGAATTAACATGTGCAGCCTTTTGCCTATTCGAATGTACGTTCAATAAAGCAAAGTTCGGCCTCCAAAACGACGTCGCTTCGGTTCCCGCTGTCGAAGGTCGGTGTTCCAAACCCTCTTTCGCCGTTTTATAATCCTTTCGAAAGAGATGTTTGCGTTTTTATATGCACGGGCGAATCACGTGCCAACGTACCGGAACTGTTAGATAGGATGATTATTTAGGGTTTCGGTTTTGGGTTGATTCGTTTATTTTCTGATCTGAGATTTTTGGTTTTAGAAAAATTTTAACTCTTCACTTTTCGTAGTTGGATTCGGTTAAATTCGTTTCGGTTTCTATGTATTTTGATTTAGATTCGGTTTATACCGTTAAAAATATTCATTAAAAAACATTTTTCGATTATTTTTACATTTTGGATCATATCAATTAAAAAATAATTATAACATTTGGTTTTTATATTAGACTCAATTCAAAAGAAATATATATAGCTATGTATTATTCAAATCAGATATGTTCAGTTCGGTTTTATCTAATAGAACATAAATAACTAACTATCCTACCTCTGAAATCAGTGTCAATTATTAAACTATTTTGTATAAATTTTAATACAAAATAAGTATTATTAATTTCATGTCCGTAAACTAAACTAATTAATAACATCTATTTTTTTCAATTTATGATTAGTGTTTTTTGCTGAATTAGTAATATATATTTCTAGATCCATATTTAATTTTATCCATTTTGATATTTAGTGGTAGAAAAAAAAAAGAATCACGAAATATAAAAATACTGGTGGACTAATTCTTAAAGTAATTGATGCAGATTCTACAAAAATGGAGAGGTGTGCGGATGGTGTTTGTAAACGTCTACGTCAATAATTAACATAAAACAATCGATGAAAATTATGTTTCCAATATAAAAATAAAACAAATGTTTTTTATTTCATTTCAATAACATTCTCAATTCCTTATTATTAAAATTTTCATTTTTATAACCAATTTTAAAATAAAAGAGAAGAAATTGATTAATGTGTCTAGACATAGTGTATATGCATGAGAGAATTTAGATAGATACCCAATTCCGAGATTAATCTAGAACTTGATACATGATACTCAGTTACATAATCACTATTTACTATTAGATAGAGATGATTATATGGGATTGTATTTGATTACTACACTTGTATATAAGACCTAAATTGTTCAGATTTTGTGACTTTTTATTTGTCCTAAAGAAGGGAAGATATGCATGTTTTTATTTGCAAGTAAGTAAATCTTCACTTATTCCTTTGTCTGATAGATTCAATCATAAACACCTTCGGTTATATATAGATGTGTATATTGATTATTCTATAAGGGAAAATGGAATAAAAAAATCAAAACTTTTCAAATTTGATAAATTAATACCTAAAATAAATTTTTTATCAAAAAAATCTACAACTATACTACTTTTATCTAAAAAAATATAGCAGTTGAAGTATTATTTTTTTTTGACAAAAATGTTAATTTAGGTATTAATTCGTCAAGTTTAATTTTTTTTTTGCACTTTTTATTCCATTTTCCCATTTTATAAGGGTATAACCGTATAGGAGTTCAAAATGACTTTATTTTTCTTTTCAAGGTTGTATTAATTAAAACATTCACCAGACTTAGATTGTTAATATGTTATATATTCCTAAGATATACACATTGGCTTTCCTATTCAGTTTGAATCTTCAATTGTCCATTTTTAGGATAGATTCGATGACAAACACATATGGTTATACACACACGTACACACACATATATATATATATATATATATATAATGGGTGTGGTACTTTATATGTCTCATATTCATGCATGGTTAACTTTCAATTTTATACCAAGACTTTCGAGTTTAATAACTTTCAGGACATACAATCAAATCATGCATGCTATACACCATTAGAAAAATAATTTCGATATCTACGAAATGATATCAAGAACATGCAATTCCGATAACAGTACAGAAAGTTATGATCAAACCAATATCATTAAATCTATATGATTTTTTAAAACCGGAAAACCAAATCCGAACTCACGGTGAACCGTGTCTCCTTAAGAAAATTATTCCCCGCACGGTATCTACGGTTAATGGAATATATCCTCACAGGATAGGACGGACGTACCTCACCGGAACAGTGGTACTTCAAATTCCGGTGCCTTGTCGAACTCAAAGAACGGTTTGAATCACAAAGAGAAAAAAATACTTTTCTTTCTTTTGCAAAAGCTTTTGTTTTTGTTTTGTGTTTTCCTTGATGTTCATGTTGTGTATAAAAATGAAAACAAAGCCTCTTATTTATAGGATTGAAAAATTGTAAAACTCCCAAAAGTCATAAATATTTTTTAAGTTTTAGAATATAGATGTGGAGAATAACATACAAAAATATCTCCTTTCATTTAATTAAAAAAAAACTCCAACAATATATATATATATATATACATATAAGCTTTACGATATGCCTACAAGTAAAACATAAAACTGCAAAACAAAGGCTAAAGAAGACTAAAAAACAAGTGAGAGAATGGAGAAGAAAACGGCAACATTGACAATTTTAGGGTTTATTTTGATGGGTGTTTTAATAGAAGAAACTGCAGCAGATTGGGGCGATTGCTACCTTGCTTGTTTTAACGCCTGCTCCCATCATGTATCACTGGCATGTGGATTGAAATGTATATTCAAATGTGCAGTCAGGGTAGACGGCGTGGTCCGCAAAAACGACGTCGTTTCAGCTGCTTCTCTGAGTTCCGCCGTTGGAGGTCGATTCGATCAGTTCGGGAATTGCGATCTTGGTTGTGCGATGGCTTCTTGCGGTGCTTCTTTTGCCGGTAAATTTTCATCTTTCGACTAACTCTATTCGAAAGAGATGTACGCTTTATATGCATGGACGAATCACGTGTCACGGGTACTATTAGATTGGATTAGATGATTATTTCGGGTTTCGGTTTTCTGATCTGAGATTTTTTTGTTTTAGAATAACTATACCCCTTTCGTTTTTTGTATCGAATTCGGTTAAATTCGGTTCGGATTTTATTTATCTTCAATTTAAATTTATGTTATGAATGGTGATAATTTTATGTTTAGTTTTTTTTTTGTTTTAGTTTTGAGTTTTTAGATAAATTTTTTGGTTTATTGAGTATTTGTAAAACTTTAAAAAAATAAAAATTTTAGTTTTTAGTTGATTTTTTATTAAATTAGTTTCCGAATATCGACGGAAACTAAATCTACAAAATTTTGGTTGTCAAGATTTTTGGTGTTTAAAACTCCATCCATTTAATCCCTTAGTTTTTACCGTTAAAAAATATTCATTAAAACATTTTTCGATTTTTTTTTTCATTTTCATTCATATCAATTTAAAAAATATACTATTTGATTTTTATATCAGATTCAATTCAAATATAATTATTTTTTAAATCTATCTATGCAGTTCCGTTCTATCTAATGGACCACAAATTACTTGTCTTACCCTTACCTGTAAAATCAGTGCTAATTATTTAAAATAATTTATATAAATTTAATGAAAATAGTATTAATAATTTCATGTACTTGCTCTTAAGAAAAACTAAAGTAATAGTAATCTATTTTTTTTTCTAACTTATTAGTATTGGTATTTTTGTTGTGTTTAATCATATATCTCTAGATTCGTCATTAATTTTATCCATTTTAGTTTTTAATGATAGAAAAACTTAAAAAAAGAATCCCAAAATTAGAAAATATTAATGGAGTAATTGTCAAAGTAATTTAACTGTAAATATGATATATATATACTTGAAATTGATGCAG